GTGTGTGTGTGTGTGTGTGTGTGAGTGTGAGAATGTGCGTGAGTGTGTGTGTGTGAGAGTGTGTGTGTGTGTGTGTGTGTGTGTGTGTGTGTGTGTGTGTGTGTGAGTGTGTGTGATCACAGATAAAGATCGACAGCACAGAAAGCGCAGGTGAGATCAGATCCACACCTGGTTGTGTGGCGAGGCTTGAGCGCTTCTGTCCAGCATACAGTAACCTGCAGGAACAAGAGCGTCAGCACGAGAGCAGACAGAGACACAGGGCTGATTCTGAGTCAGAGAGCAGAGCAGACCTGACCGAGAGCTGCTGCTGGAGCTGCAGGACATCCTCACTCCATCACCACTGAACACATGAAGAAGAGTCAGGAACACAGCAGCTGCAGGATCTCAGAGGAACAGCGTTCAGCTTACCTGGATACACATCTGTGCTGACTCCACACATCTTTGAGCTTGGACGCGGTTCGGTCTGGAATCTTGAGACAACGTTTGTAAAAATCAAGGGATTATCATTCATTCCTGTTCCATCTTTTACAGGTGTGTTTATTTATGAGGCGTTTGCTCAGAGTGACTGAAGCTGACTCTTTTTTTCTCCAGTACTCTACACTGAATGCCTTTAAAATACGTTCTGGGTTTCCGTGGCATTCTCACTTTTATTTTTGTGTGCTAACCGTATATATATCTGCTGTGAATGCATGTCACACTAAAGGAAGGAAGGAAGGCTCCTCCTTTGGGGAGAGGACGTGTTTCGACCGCAGCTTTAGCAGTCGCCAGCTATATAAGTGTTTCTGACACACCGCAAAATGCTTATGATTTAGTGTCAGCTCAGACTTCTCATATTTCTCTGAATACTATAATATGAACAAACACTGTAATGCACAGTAGCTGTGTTTACATCCAAACTTGCGAATTTAACTTGGAACATCGCATAAAACGTGCGAATTAAGCACTGTTTCCAAAGAGGACAACCTCGTCACTTCCTGGCATTAAATATCACTAAGAAAAATAGGAGAAGCCACTGAATGTGTGACTTTTTTAATGCGCATGGAGGATTTTATTCGGTAAATGTGTTTCCATCGTAGTTTATGCACATTTTTTCTTATCGGATAAAAAGTGCGCATGTGTGTTATGAGCATTTTTAGAATTAATGTTTAAGTTTTTTTTATGCAATATTCCATCATGCTGTCTGTCTGGAGCGGTGGTGACCAACCTTCGGCGGCTGCTCATCAGAGCTGAAGAAGACTTCATCAAGAGGAGCGGAGGAGACGTCTGTCATGGAGCTGCTGTGATGAAGCTCTCGACTGGGACACACGCTCACATTCTGAAACACACACAGCTTTCACTACGCTAACCGTGCTGCTCTGTGTCATTATCCAGACACTGCAGCTGGATTTGAAAAAACTGAAAAAGTGATAGAAAGCAAATCTAGCTGGAGATGTGAGCTGTGCTCGTACCGGTGGTTTGGCCGCTCTCTGCAGCGCTGGAGTACACGGACTGGAGCTGCTCCCTGATCCCAGACGAGACTGAACATGAGGAATTCTCACCGCCATACTGTTCAGATTCACAAGATGAGCCTCCAGCGACTCCAGTTTACCTGCCAGCTGAAGGCCAGAGTTTCACATCATCATCATCATCATCATCATCATCAGAGTGCATCATCTGAAGGCTGTGTTTTACCCCGTCTCGAGGACTCCTCTGCTGGAGCGCAGGGTCGTGCTGCGACTGATCTCTGGGAAGAGTGCGCTGCTGGACATCAGCATGACATTAGCACAACAAACCCTGACCGGGACCGGCTGCTCAAATACATGCATATCAAACACTGAGCGTAAACGTATCCTGTTAAACTGTTCACTGCTCAAGAAGATTTTTACCTGCTCAGCAAACAGACTCACAGCCGCTGATTGAGGATCAGTCCTGTGCTGTTCACCGTCTCTGGGCTGAAATACAGAGACAGACAGCAGATCATTACAGCAGAGAAACAGTGGTGCTGTGTGAGTGTGTGTGACTGTGTGTGTGTGTGTGTGTGTGTGACTGTGTGTGTGACTGTGTGTGTGTGTGTGTGCGAGTGTGACTGTGTGCGAGTGTGACTGTGTGCGCGTGTGACTGTGTGCGTGTGACTGTGTGTGTGTGTGTGTGTGTGTGAGTGTGTGTGTGTGTGTGTGTGTGACTGTGTGGTGTGTGTGTGCGTGCGTGTGCTTGCGTGCGTGTGCGTGTGTGTGTGTGTGTGTGTGCACTCGTCTGGACTGTGTGTGCTTGACATTAATGTCATTATATAAGTCGCTGCATATTTCAGATCACTAAAATCATGACTTGTATCCCACAGTATCCGGTACTCATGCTGTGATTCAGGTTAATTCGTAAATGTCTCTTCTTAAGGCAGTGAGAACTGCTGTGAGAATGTGACTTGACCTGACCTTGACTGTTGTACATGAATTACAGTAAGCACACGCATTCACACATGCATACATAAGAAATGTAGAACAAATAATGTGACTGTTCAGCAAGAAGTCATTATAAATATTCAGACTTTTCCAAGGGACAAGTGAATTCCTAACTCTGACCTGTTTCTTGTGATTTCTTCTGGTTTTCTCGGTAAGGTCAGTCTCTTCCTGCCACATCATCTCCTGGAGCTCTGGCCACTGGAGTCCGGTCTCGTGTATCAGCCGTTCCTGCTGCTTTACACACACACAAACACACAACGCTTCGTCTGCACTGCTGTACTCACTGCAGAATAACTGTAAAGCCACTCAAACACAGTGAACCAAAGTCTCTGTTTCAGCTTCTTCTCATGTCTAGATTCCAGCTTTCATCTACCAACTAAACTCACCCCGGGATGCTGTTTAAATGGCATTAACCCCATGCATTCTGGACACTTGTTGGCTGATTTTCCTTCACTGTTTTAACTCATCCAATTCATAAATGAAAATGACAGTTTTGTAAAGAAATTCACAGCTCAGATTTGTCTTCAGAAGTCATTTCAAGTGCAAGCTTTTGAGAAACACATTCACTCAAGAGTGCTCAAATGTTGGACTGCTAGTGTGTACATTTAAAAGACTGACATGAGCAGTTCACATTCTAGTCAAACATGCTACGACCAACTGGACATCCAGCAGTCACTGAAGATCCAAAGCACACGGACACTAAACACAATGACACAAGGACTGATCCGTACGTCTTCGAGGCGGCGGCGCTCCTCCTGCTGCTGCTGGATCCTCTTGTGTCTGTCGGCCAGCAGCTGTCTCTTGTAGTTGTCCTGGTTGTGTGTTTGCTGGAGCAGGTGTGTTTGTGTGTTTGTCTCCTGCTGCAGACGCAGGAACTCCCGTCTCAGCATGGACTCTCCGGGAAGATTGACTATAGAGCTGTGTGAACACAAAGCACGTGATGTGAGCGACGCCAGACCCAAGACAAGAGCCATCTTCCACACAGAGACACGCTCACGACATCTGCGCATCACTGCAGAGACAGGAGCAAGCAGTTCATGCCCACATAACAATCTAAACTCATTTCGGTCAGTGATGCTTTTCCAGTACAGCACAGGGGTTTAATCAGTGGAGCAGGTGCACTGTGCCACTCTAAAGCTGCTTTGACTCAATCTGTATTGTATAAAGCGCTATACAAATAAAGTGGACTTGACTGTGCTAGTTAACTCATTAAAGTTCATAAATGATCATATCTTGTCTCTACGGTCTGAACTGAGAAAGCACCGGAAGTAATGATGTTTGGACACTAATATGAAGGATTCCTATAGAGATTGGTGTAGTAACACATACCTGGGTTCACCTTCATCTTCATTCATGGCATCTTCTTCATCTTCACTGCCACTGTATTCATATTCCATCCCCTCTGTTAACAGATCGTAAACAGAAGCAAAATAAAGCAATGAAGCCGTGGTTTACAGTGAATTTATAACAGCTAAGGGACGTTGTTAGGTACGACGCGAAGCGGAGTTCACTGTAAACCATGGCTTCACGGGGCTTATTGCTTTTAGAAAAATAAAACAGGTTTCACAAAATAAAAAAGAGCAAATAAAGTGTAATGATATTAATAAAAACAGTATTCTTCCACCAAACAATGTAGTTCCTCAGAAACAGTTGTGGTTCCAACAAAGTGGTTGCCGAGCAACAGACAATGTAAACAAAGGTGTGTGTTTGTAGAGTAATTTACAACAGCTTAGAACGCGGCTCAGCCAATCAGAATCAAGGACCGGAACTATCCGTTTTATAATAGGATGTGAGTCACGATGATGGACAAAGTTACCAGTGAGTGAGCGCGATCCCTTAAACTGCTTTGAACAATGTCTAAATCACCTTTCTCTCGTCTCCTCTTCCTGGTCCTGTCCAGGTGGTCTTTGAGCGTGATGCGCACCTGCCGCTCATTGGGAAGGTCTTTAATGAAGGAGTGGCGCAGGAGCGTCTCTGTGGACGGCCGGTGGAGGTAGTTCTTCACCAGACAGCTGTCCACAAACGTCTGAAACTTCTTAGACCTTCAGGAGCAATAAAGTCACAGGTGAGCATTTTGAGATCGGGATGAGACTCTATGCATGTGGCTGTAATAAACGGCAGGCATATCACCATTTCTTGGACTTGAGTTTGGGAGGAGGGTTTCGTGGAATGAGGAACAGCGCTCTCATGGGATGCATGTCACACAGGGCTGAGGAGAATACAGCAATCACACACAAACACTGGGATATCTGCAACCTGTGTGGAGTTGAAACTTTGTAAACTCACGTGGCGCTCCCTCTGCCATCTCTAAAGCGGTGATTCCCAGAGACCACACGTCGCTCTGAAACATGCGGTAAGATCACAGTCACTGATGGGAAGCTCTTCAAGCACTGAGGTATACTAGTCCTACTCACTCTGTAGTCATACGTGGAGTCAGGGTTGTCGTCGCACGCAATCACCTCCGGCGCCATCCAATACGGCGTCCCGATGAAGGTGTTTCTTCTGCCAATCGTCCTGTCCAACTGAGCACTGACGCCAAAATCCACTGGAAGAACACCGGGAAAAACAATGTCTCCCGCCATATATACACCAGGGGTACTTCTCGTGTTCATGCATATTGTTCTGCGCAACATATGTGTGTTATTTTGCATGACAGAACTGCTTTAGCTGCTGCTGGGATATGATTAGGTCGGGTGTTTAACACTGGAATACAGTCAAAACTGGCATTACAAGCAAGCACCCCTAGTGAAAAAAAAATACTAAACTGTAGTTGAAATACATTTATTTTGTGCTAAGTATACTACAAGTACTTTTGCATATTTATGTGCTTAATAAAAATACCCTGCAATTGGTATATTAAACTGGTATACTTAAAGTCTGCTAAACTGGAACAACTAATGTTGTGCTTAATGCTCTTTATTTGTGTGGAAGTAGTGCTGAGGTCCAACTAAAGGCATACTGTAGTATATTTGATTGTGCTAAAGGTACTTCAGCTACACTTTAAATATCCTGCATTGATATTATACAACGATCATACAGACCTTATTAATAGTGATTTTAAAACACATTTTAGGCATAACTGTGCATTGTGCAATAAAGAAATATTCCAAATAAAGTTTCAATATAATTTTATATCAGTATGTCTTAAGTGATGTTAATGAGTGATATGGCACAGTTTTTTATTTTTTTTACTAGGGACACGTGACAACATTTATGAAAAGTACCACAATTAAATAAAATAAGAAACAATAAGAAAAACGTAACCAAAAACAACCAATCAAATGACGTTTAAGGTGACCCTGCATGGTTTCTCAGTGAGTTAGTGTTTCTCTGCTGATGGGTGGAGCTCTTACCCAGTTTGATCTCAGCGTTCTCCGTCAGCAGCACGTTTTGTCCTTTAATGTCTCGATGAATCACGTGATGAGAGTGCAGGTGTAACAGACCCTGAGAGACCAAACAGAGTTTACACACAACACAAAATAATTTACATAATTTACTGTCGTTTATTAACATTAGGGTTATTAAATCAGTGAAAGAACAAGCTTTATATCTCTGTTAGACCAGATGAAATTCCACAGTTTTCAACATGGATGAAATGCATTTGATGATATGCTGAAGAATGAAAAGGATGGTATGCAAAAATGCCTTATGGACAGAATGAATTTCATAAATCAAGCAACTCCTTTCATGAATGAAATGCATGTCTCGTTGAGTGATTTCTGTGGATGAGATGCATTCTGGATGATGGATGATGATAATCATCCACTTTATCATCCAGGTGGATGCTGCACACTGGTGGTGGATGAGGAGATACCCCCCGACAATGTAAAGCGCTTTGAGTGCCTAGAAAAGCGCTATATAAATGTAATGAATTAATTAATATTAATTAATTAATTCTGCGCTGGGAGGTTTCAGTGATCATATGTGCATCTTAGATGTAATAGAGCTGATGACGCTCCAGGAAATCCCTTATATGGACAAAGGCATCCAGCTGTAGCTGTGACTGAAGAAAAAGTATCTAGAAATGCTTTGAATGATGAAACATGAAGACAATAAACACTCAACTGTGACAATATATAGTTTATCTGTGCTCTTCACGCCATCTCGGGTATTTTCACAATAATTATGTATATTCATAATCCATTGCTAATCGACATAGCCTTTATTACAGTATGGGATATATTTTCTGCCTCATTCTGTGATAAGAAGCCACATCAGATCAGAAAATGAAGTTATTTCAAACACTCGACTGATGTTGTGGAGTAAAGGCATGTTATAATGTTCTCTTTTGTTGGACAGCAGGTTTAGAAACGCTTCTCATTGCAAGTCATTACAGCAGAAGATGTGTTGCTTTTTCAAATGCACGTTATAAGCGGGAGGCATTTGCTCATCTCAGCACGTAAACTCAGGGATACACACAGACAGAGAGAAATAAAATAGGCCTTACGCAAAGCCACTAGAAGGCAAGCCTGCATCCTTCAGCAAAAAAAGCGTAACGGCTAATGCTAACGCTTCCGCTGTGGCAGTATGTGGGAAAGGAGACCAGAGGCCCTATTTTTTTTAATGGATGTCAATGGAGGAGAGGCTTCACTACGCTGAATAAACAGCTCTTTAGTGGAAACAGCTTATCATTTAATGAATCAACAGCCTATCGGCTAATCTCCAACATGTTTGACACTAAACAACACTTTTGGATTGAACTATTTTTAGAGTTTACACCGAAAAAAATGCCGTTTTATAAGAGAAGTCACTGATTTTTTGTGACAGCTGGGATTCAGTTTACGGCACTCTCATTCATTCCTATGGGATCTGTAAACGGTGATTGAGTGTCGCACAACTCTGACTGAAATTCAGTGACGAAAAAAATGCCGTTTTATAAGAGAAGTCACTGATTTTTTGTGACAGCTGGGATTCAGTTTACGGCACTCTCATTCATTCCTATGGGATCTGTAAACGGTGATTGAGTGTCGCACAACTCTCACTGAAATTCAGTAACGTCAAGGCTGTAATGTGATTGGTTATTAAGGCACACGTGATCCAAGTTGACCATTACGCTTTCTCCAGTAGTAAGTAATACTATTAGTGACCAATCATAGCAGTGTACTTTGAGGTTAAAATGTGTGCGGGTCTGGTGTAATCGTGTCATTTATTTACTGAACACATGACGTGTTTTACACACACTAGGTAACATCTTTACTGTAACAGGTATATGTACTACACTGTAATGGCGTCTCACGGAGGTTTTTTTGGCTTGATTTAGCATTGATCAGCTGTGATTACTCACTCTCAGCACTTCTCTGCAGATGTAGGCGATCCAGTCCTCCTTCAGGCAGTTCCCTTTGGTCTTCTTCAGCAGGTCTGTGACCGAGCCGGCGCCGCAGTACTCCATCACCAGCTGAAGAACAACACACATTTAACAGCTAAACTAAGTGCCGTGATCTCATCTGACAGGACAGCGCTGAGCCTGAGTTCTTTCTTTCACAGCAGGAACATCTGTAAGAACTGCAAAAACATCCTGCATTTAAATATTCAAACTGATTCATATGATTCATAGCACCATACAACTGTAGCTCAAACCCTTACGAAAATTATTACTACAAATAAAACCATGGTTACTATAGTTAAACCACAAATTAACCATGGTTTTGCTACACTGACCATAGTTTAACCATGGTATTTGTAATAAAACTGTGGTTATACAAATGGTAATCAATACACCAAAAAACCATGGTTACTACACTTTTCCTACAGTAAAACCATGGTTAGTTTCCATGCATGCTCCTCAATACCATGGTGAAAATGGAACTAGAGTATATGGCTTCTACAAAACTACGCTACATGTTACTGTGTTTGTTAAGAGTAGCTTCAACACTTTAATATAAATACAAATGACAAAAATTGACAACAAAAATGACTGTAGCTATATTCCGGTATATCCCAGTTTAATACATTTTTAGTCTGCATTTTTAATATATATAATAGCATTCGATATGAATATCCCACATTTCTGTCAGTTAGTGTTACTACAGTAAAGCCATGGTAATCGTGGCACAATTGTTGAGAATGTCAGCACTGGTTCATCCGCTGTTAAACTCGTTTAAATCCCAGAGACTTTTGGGAATTCTGCACTCCAAACGAGACGGATTACCCCCCAAAACACCCACTCAGTCCCAGTGTACTGGCAAAACCACACCTGAGCAAATGAGGTTTGCTCTGGGGTGCTTGAGCTTTATTAGTGTTCAGCAGATACTCACCCACAGCTGGTCATCCTGGCCCGCAGGACTCTTCTTCACGAAAGCACCGTAATACGTGGCTATGTTCCTGTGATGGGAGTGAGCCTTCAACATGTTAATCTCCAGCTTGATTTCATCCTCCTCCTCCTGCAGAAGACAAACCACATCCACTAGAATAATGACCATGGCTGTTAGAGCAGGAGCACACAGAGAGTGAGTGAGGGAGAGCATATGAATGCTTTAGAGAGGCCTGTGAGTGTTCATATGAGAGGACAGATAGAACGACAGTATGGAAGGAAATCTGGAGCAGCGCTCCGTTATCTCTCAGGACGGGAAGGAAAGGCTCTCCCAATGGTTCATCACCCACTGAAATATAGGGATGACCCCAAACGACTCAAATTCAAGTCATCATTTTACAGAAAACCAAAACCAACACAAAAAATAAAGTTCAACAGTCAACTAATCTAATCGATTTAGTAATCAACACTCAAAAAAAAAAAAACTGAGCTGAAGATTAAGCATTTATTGGCACATAAGGCAGTTTTTTAATGATATAATTGTTTCTACCCCAATTTGTTGTGAACAATTAAACTGAAAAAAGAAATGGTAACATCTAAATTAACTGGATTTATTCAGGTCCAAAATATATACACTACCGGTCAAAAGTTTGGGATCAGAACGATTTTTAATGTCTTTAAAGGGGAGATAACACACACAGTTTCACCCAATCTCATGTTAATCTTGAGTACCTGTAGAGTAGGACTGCATCCTTTATATCTCCAAAAAGTCTTTAGTTTTATCACATTTATAAAAGAAAGATAGTACCCTTACAACCAAAAACACACTTCTTTGGAGACATTCTTCCCGAGCGAGTATCGTGCAGCGCTGCTGAATGAAGCGCGTTGATGGACGCGATCTTGCTCTTGCTAAATTTTTTGAAATTTTGTCCATGCTTAGCATGAGAATCCAACTCTTTAACAGTGTAAACAACTCTGAATGCATTAAACAGTGTTGTACCCCCCCCGCCCCC